TATATTAAACTTTTATTTTTTTAGTAATATTCCTATAGTAGAAAAATTCGTAAAAAATCTTTAAATAAATATTTAAGCTTTTTTAATTCGTATCCCACTACCCGCTTATTTTTACGATATTTCCTCGACTTTATATAAAGTGTTGAATTTGGTGTAATTTGGCTGATTTGTATGGGAGATGGGTGGCCCGCGAGCCCCTGGCCCGTGACCCCCCCTGCTGACTTACAAGTCTTTGTCTGGCCGACCCAAACTTATACCAACCCAGGTTGTACCACCCGTCCGTGATCCAAATCTGTACTGGTCCAAGATGTACGAACATACTGGTCTAAGCTATTACTGGTACGAATCGTGATCTACAGATCTTACAATCGGACTAGTACAAGATCCCTTGCTATAGAAAATAAGCTTTTACGCAGTCACGATATTCTATTATATTACCAGGTGGGGAACCAAGTAATCTCTAATATGATACTTGTTAGGTTTGCTGCTCCCCATCAACCAGCCTATATCTCTCCTCAATCACTAGCGATCACTTCATCGATCTTCGATCTTTTCGAAGTCTATGCCCTCACCCCACGAGGCATATTCGGGTGCCGAAGCTTGGGCCATCCATCCCTTCTACGTCTCAATCCAATCCATTCCTTCACATCATAAGTGTACTAGAACAATTCTTAGTGGGCGATTTATTTTTTTTATCACTCGCCTTCGTTCGGTTATTCTGTGGGCTTTCGGTTTAGGAAGCTATATATGCCTTGAAGCGTCAGACAGATCCTCAGCTGATCTTATCGCCTAGACATTCTCAACTAAGCACGGAGTTGATTTCAGTGTCCGAGGACCATGGCCTATGATATCTTCTCATAGTGTAGAAACACCTGAAAGGAATGGAACTTAATACGGCTTATCTGGTAGCCACAGCCCCAGCTACAATAGAATTAAGTCTTTTGGAAGGGCGATCCTGTAGCAACCTTGAAGCCTCTGGTGGTTCGCAAAAACGACCGGGGACCCCATGATAAACGGTTTGCATAAAACGTACATAAATCAATGCTACGAGTTTGTAGTCACGTGACTAACGATATAGTGAGCCGAGCCTGAGCAAAAGCGGCGAGTGCGCTAAGCCTGATTTGCATGCGCCACAATTGGTGCGCGCGTGGCTGTGCGTGGCCCGCAGGGCCGCGCAGCCACGCAGCCGCACAGCAGATTGATTACGGGTGCAGTGGGGACTGCCCCGTAACTTACACCAACGATTCTCGCCATCCTTCCAAGTAGTATCTTCAGCCTCAAAGAATCCGCTCCCTTTTTTGCCACCCGTCTCTCAAGGTGGTTATTTCGGCACCACCCTCCGTAGGTGCCTCGAGCGACACCTCTGGCGAAATCTCTGGGCACGCATACTTTCACCAACCCTCTCGCAGGTCCTTTCGCAAGGCCCCCTCCCACCGAAACCACCGAAGCAATCGCCCTAGGGCAAATCTTTAGGTGGCTCTACTGCACACGCTCTATTACTGTCCTTCTATTTTCCCTAGGATCGGTTCTCCCTTCTACTACGATACAATGGCCTTCGTCAACCGAGATCAACACCAGTACAACAGCAGCGACGATTACAAGCGTCACACTCTTTTTGCCAAAAGACTCACCTCTATAGACATTTTTCAATCCACTTTGCAGAGTTCGGCATTTATTGCATTAGATACAGAATCTTTCGGTCAGGACGATCGCGTGCTCTGTCAAATAGGCATTGCCTACACAGGTTCCTTAGTCCCGGTCTTAGCTGACCCGACTTGTGGCAAAAGATCACTACGGAAGTTTGTCCAACAGAACGATATTTCTTCCACTACCATCAATGTCGCATCAAGCACACAAAAAACACAAATATCAAAGCGAATAAAATCACGTTTTGGAAATGACTACGATGCTGATCTCGATTGTCTTAACGCGCTTATCGACAAACTACTGCTTGAGTACGATACTCGACGTATCGCCGACAACAAGGATCGGCTTATCCTGGTCGTTTTCGAATATCGGGCAGAATGGTCGTATATGGCCCGTTTCTTCCCTTCCGCTCTGCGCTACTTTTCTGCATGGCTAGATGTTATAGACTTTTCTCGTGAAGTTGCCCCAGGTGGAAATGTACCAAGCCTCAAGAAAACCCTGAACCCTTTGGGATACAGTCTTCGGGACGTTACCCAAGATCGCAAATCGGAGGGCGCGGCTCACAATGCCGGAAACGACGCCGTAATAACACTTGCTGTTCTAGAAGGCCTTCAATGGCCTGCTAATCAAGCCAAACTTCGATCTCTACAAGCGTACTGGCGCATTATTTCAAGCTATCGAGGGCCGCCCAATCTTCTCAGGATGCCTTTTACAGCTAACATTCAAACCCTTGATCAAACTTTACTCCCGAAATCTCTTGACTCAGCGCTTTGTTTATCGCGAATGTTCTTCGACGAGTACCATCCAAAAACAATATCCGTTTCTGGCCGAAACCCCAATAGCGCCTGGGTTGCTTTAAATTCCTTGCCGCAGCTAAATCGTTTTGTCGACAAACTTCACGGGACCACAGTTTACGGGAAGCAATTGGTTGTTACAAGTTTATACGACCCGGCCCTGGCCCTGGCCGAAACGGAGTCTATAAAGAACCAAGCGATCAAACAGCAAAGAGAGGCGCTGAGGAATACAGTTATTGCTGTAGAAGAGCCCGACCTCGAGACGCTGTTTTCTTGAATGACCTCGTGCAATAGCACCAACGGGATATAATTTCCAAGCTTCGCCGGCAAAGCTTTCTATTTTAGGGACAACTTGCTTAGCTTGTCACACGGACCAAGCCAGGTGCCCACGCCTGTCAGTCTCCCGTCCAGACATACAGCCTCCCGGCAAGACACACAGCCTTGAGGAGCCGCAACTATTGGACGGCGATTATCACGGGACTTGGAAGAGTCATAGGAGCCTCGTATTGCGACTGGATCTGAGACAGCTAAAGGAGGGGTAATAGCTAGAGGCCTGAGGCACCCGCTTTAAGGGCTGTCTATAAATACGAGGCATAGGGCAAGGTTGCATTAAAGGTTGGATTTAAAAGGCCAAGGACCCTTTAGATCCAAAGAGAATTATTAGCTGAATAGAACACTGTTCTAAGCCCTTACTACATAAGCCCTTGTCACATAGCTCTACACGGTTTTTTATTTATGTTAGAAAGGTAATACATAGAATGAATAAATAGACCTGCTACAGTTAGAAGAAAGGATATAGGGCTTAATAAATCGAATAAGTTAGGTAGAGAACTGCCTTCGTTTTTAACAGGTCACTTTCGCAGGTCATTTTCGCAGGTCGCTTTAATAGGTGGCTTATATAGGTTACCTTCGCAGATAACTGTGTAAATAAAAGGGTGTAGCGGTGTCTGACCTTTTCTATTTATAGAGTTCATATTAATATTATCTGTATTAATAGCAGCATCTGTATGCGACCATAGCCGAACGTTACGCTTATCCCGAAGAGAGCAAGCAAAAAATTTCAGACCATAAATAACCTTCGTTTCACTCAGTTGTAAACTCCTTCGCAAAAAACGATGGCATAGAAATGTCCATGTGTACAGTGAGTGGGCTGTGACCCTAGGTAGGTTAAGCAACTCTGGGTTGGATGGTCCTAGGTAACCTAAGTGCCGTAGGTGGCCCCTGACAAGCGTAATAACGATTACTGATCAGAGAAGTAGATTATGCAGACCTGGCTGTCCAACGTATGCTGTCTAGTTAACTACAAGTTGTTGGGTAGATATTGCTAGAAAAGAGGAAAGAAACGTGAATAGAGACATAGCACAAAAAAAGGGAAAAAGAATTGACACCCGCGGCGGGACTCGAACCCACATCCCCCGCTACGTTATTGCGGTCATCGTACCATTGAACGTACACCGGGCTTCTGCTCAGTTGCGCTAGCTGTGTTATGGACTTATCATATTTCATCTTAAGTAGGTGTCTGGTTGGTGTGGGGCCTAGGCGCGTCATCGGGGAGGATTGTGGGAAAGAGTGGTAGACTGCTTGGGTAGAGAAGTGGAAGGAAGGCACGGGTTGTTCCAAGCGAAAGATCGACCGATACCTCTACAGTGCACCCTATGACCCTGACGGCCGCCATCGTCTATGCGAGGCGGAGATTCCGGCGCCTACGCATATCCAATAGACCTCGAGGGAGCTACCGAGGAGGCGACACTCTCTTAGCAATCTATGATAAGAGTCCCAGGCGGTTGCAGCCTGAGTACGCTCTTGGTGCGCATCAAGACTCTTGCGTGGATCGCCAGGCGTATGGCTATATAACGAATGACCTCGGAGTTGTAGGAAGTCAGCAACAAGGCCTATTCGGAGCTAACTAATGACTGGGAGCATCCGGGTGCTGGGCACCTTGCTGAGATCGGCCGTGAAGATGCTTTCGACGTCTTCCAGACCTGCAACTCTTCCGCTCTCAGCCTTACGGATATCATCGAGGCGCAGAAATCGCTGTATCCGCAGCCGACGGGTCTAAAAGAAACCGGCAACGACAGGCACGGCACCCTACACTTTCTGAGGCGCTTGGCGATAATGCTCGTCAAGGTCTTGTAGGAGTGATCTATCGTGCTCTGAATAGTAGGAGGGACGGTGTCGTAGAAGTCGACAGGTTCCCTCGGAATGCCCTGGACGGGGAGAAACAGGCCAAGATTTCGCCTGTGCTGATGATCTTGTATACGCCATCGAAGTGCCATAGTTGATGGTCCTCGTTCCCTGGAGCGGTTACACCATCTTCTCGCATTTATGCTCGATTTCTGGGGCGAGTGTGGCGACGAGTTGCGGCTTCTTGATATCGTGAGCTTCACTGATGTGCTCGGCGCGAACGCTATGGACGAGAGCGTCAGAGCGACCCAGGTCTCTCCAAGCAGTGCCCATAGGTTTGCAGGAGGCAGTTTGTGGTACCTTCGTTCTTGGAGTTGGGATTCAGAGCAGAGCACACAACAAAGACTTGATAGAAACGCGTAGCCGGCCAGAGGCCGGTGAGGATGGCTGCTACTTCGTAGTATAGCAGGACACGGTGAGGGGCCGGATGGATTATAGCTGTTGGTGGCGAGAGACAGCTGATGCTATGGCTTGCAGAAACGGAGTTGACGATGAGATCTGGGTTTCCCCAAGTTTGCAGAGCCCTGCGAATGAGGGAGGCCATATCTCGCTGACATCCATTGTATAGATCCAGAAATTGCCATGGAAGTGAAAGACCCGCTCGACGTCGAGGCCGGAATCTTGTGACCTCCATCGGTTGTCTCGATCGGCTTCTTCTTATGCTTGCCGAGGACCTTAGCTTTAGTGTCCTTCTTGACTGGATCGTCCATCTCGTTTCAATTTTTACACATTTCTTCAGTCACGTGACTAAGAACAGAGTAAGCCAAGCCTAAGCAAAAGCACCAATTGCGGTAACTCTCATCTGTTAAACTGGTAAAACCCGGAACTTTCATAAATCCTCACTACTTCGAAGCCACAACATTTTTCAAATTACTCACGTGTTTCACAGTTATCGTTTTTCCTTCTTTTCTAGATAATAGGCTGTTCCTCAAGAGCAGACGAGAGAAGATGACCGCTGTCCTAGCCGCGAGGGTCACCATACCCGACGGAGTGTATATGTTTTAAATCTGGCGAGCCATACAAGATTGCGAGGAGCATGCTATCACTGCCAGCAATTTGCGTTGTGCCACCTACGGCCATGCGCTTTTGGGCGGTCGAGTTTCGCAAAGTCCTTAATACAACATATACAACAGCAGGACACCTCAGGCTATCTGTATAGTATAATGACTATAGCAAAGACTGCTGTCTAATATGTTGATGCCGATAGAGAGGTGCAAATTTTGGTGGCCGGCCGGCCGAACTTGAGTAACTAGCGGCTGCTCCTTAGTCGGTATAGCGCTATTAAGTTTTATATTATATATAATAAAATAAGTGTGGCACCTGGTGGGGAATACAGGCAGCCTTATTTAATAGCAACGGTTGCCTGGGAATATACGTCTTTATACTATAATTTAACTTATTATAATTAAGTATATAAATATATAACCATTTAACTAAAGTCTTTAACTTTTTATTATAATATAACTAATTATTTTTAATATAAATTTATTAATTTTAACTAATAATTATAACAAGCTATAAATTTAATATTAAATAAAAATAAATATAAATAATTATTTATATAGTTTTATAATATTATATTATAAATTATTATATAAATATAAAAAAACCTTTGTTTTTAATTATTTTTAATATTTATTTATAAATTTAAATATTTTTAAACTTTTTGTTACTAACGGTACACCTAAACTAGCTAGGTACGAGGGCGAAACAGCGGCGAAAAAGGAGCGAAATCAGCTATATTAAACCCCTAAGGTAGAAAATAATAACTTAAGGAAGGAAAAAAACTAATTTAACGGAGCCACCGTCTTTAAAGCTATTTATATAGTACAGAATACAGTCTATATAACGTAGCTAGTGTCCTTGCTATTTGTACTAGGGTAGGAATCTAGTATTTATAATAACTATCCTTTTTTTCCCGATAAAATCAACTACGATTCGCTAACTAAAAGCAAAAAAGAACTTTTTAAGGCCTAATATTACTTATTAGCAAACACGCAGCAAAATATTTTATAAATAACTAATTTTAAATATAAATTAAATTAAATTCGCTACTATTTTAAAATTAATTTAACTTTATTAGTTTAATTATAATAAAATATATAAGCTAAAGTATAAAACATTTAGTTAAGCTTATAAAATAATAATTTTTTAATTTAAACAAGCTATAACTATTTTATAAAAATAAATTTAATAATTATTTAACCGGACGTTATAAGCTTGACTATAAGCTAAATAACTTAAAAGATTAATTACTATTAGTTTATTAGCGAAACGTTTTTAATAAAAGCTTAAAATACGTTTAAAAACAAGATTAAATAATAAAATATATAGACCGACTATTTATAAAAGGTAACAGTTTTTTTAAATACCAGACTAAACGGACTATAGAAAAAAAACAACCTTTTTATAAACAGGACTATAAAAAAAAAACAACCTTTCTATATATAAAACTTAACTAAAAAGCGCATATTTATAAAAACAGACAGTTTTCTATAAAGGGAAAATAAGCAGCGATTTTCTTTTTAAACTACAGCTTTAAAAATTTCCGTAATACTTCTAATACAGATACAAAATAAAAACAATACAAGCTATATATAAACTACCTAAACAACTTAAGGCCTAGCTTTATTTAAGTACTCAAACCTTTAATAAATCTTGCTCCCGTAGCGCTTATAAAATATAATCTTTTTATACTTATTATAACAAGTGCTATTTAATAAAAGTACTAATAGCTTAAGGTCCTGTTTAATAATATTTTTTATAAATAATATATAATAATTAGATTTTTTTAACTTTAATATAAAAATATTTTATAAATAAACCAGCTATAATTTATTATTATTAAAATTAATAAGTTTATAATAATATATAATTAATTAAACTATTTTTTTATAAATAATAAACAGGGTTAAAATTTTTTTAAGCTTATTTTAAAAGCGTTTTATAAATTTTACGTAATAAAATCGCGTACTTACTGCTTGCAATTTCTACTTGTTCTAGTCCTTTAAAGATTATAAATAGTTATTAAAATCTCGGGGGTACTAACTTTTTTTCTGGTAGGCTTTTTTTAAGCGTTCCGCGATATAGGTTTTTTTATAGCCTGCGTTTTTAATAATAAAGGCAGTCTATAGGACGAACTGATCTTAATCGCTTCGGATTCGGGCTGCTTCTATAAGGTTTTTATTTTTAATTCGCTTAATTTTCCAGTTTTAAAAAGGTTAGCACTAGTTATTTATTTTAAACACTATAAAATTAATCTATTTATAGTTTTTTCAATACTTACAGAAAATACTTTTAAAAACTTTTTATAAATTTATTAATTATTTATTCTACTAATAAAAAATAAAATAAAAAGAAAAAGATTTAATTAAACGTTCTAGGTTAACATTATGTTCTAAGTTTAAATTATTAACGTTTCAGCGATGTTTTAAGATAAAGGCACTTTATAAGTTAGTTAGCTGTTTTTTTAGGTTATTAAGCTATTCTACTAGTTTAATCTGTTTTTAAAGGGCAGCGATTTTAAACTGGGTATTTAGCGGAGCGTTAGTTTTTTTTTCGGTATAACGTATAACTAGAAGCATCGCGGTTATAAGTAGCTATAAAAAAAGTTATTATTAATTATTATTAATAGTATACTTAAACTAGCTAGGTACAAGGGCGAAACAGCAGCGAAAAAGGAGCGAAATTAGCTATATTAAACCCTTAAGGTAAAAAATAATAATTTAAAAAAGGAAAAGAACTAATTTAACAGAGCTACCGTCTTTAAGGCTATTTATATAGTATAGAATACAGTTTATATAACGTGGCTAGTATTCTTGCTATTTGTACTAGGGTAGGAATCTAGTATTCGTGACACTTTTTAAAATAGTTAAAAATATTAAAAACTAAACCTAATAAAAACTAATTAATAATTTAATTAATATTTTACGCGGAAATATAATAGCAAGCGTTAATAATTATATTAATACCTTAGCTATAAACTTTTTAAAAAAGCTAAACAAGATTTTAAAAATTATTTAAAAAAATAATTAAACAAGATTTAAATTTTTATTATTAAAAAAAAATAACTTATTATAAAAACTAGTAAATAAAAACCTTATAAATATTATATATATAAAAAAACTAGTTAATATAATTTATAATAAACAATTAAAAAATTTATTATTAAATCTTTAAAAATATTAAAGATTAAATATTATATAAATTAAACAAAAATAATAAATTTAAGCTGTTTTTTTTAATATTTTTTTATTTAATAATATTATTAAATTA